AAAAGGTACTTCTCAAACACACGGCTGAACTTCCCACCAGCAACATATCAGTATCTCCACTTTTCAGCAAAGTTAATTGACTTTTATATGACCAAGTTTTGAATAATTTGTTGGATATCAGAGAAGGACAGAAACCACTCCATGCTGGACTGTCCTCTGCTCTACCGCAGACTTCCCTAGCCACTGGCTTCCTACAAATACTCACTCCCAGAACATAGCATAGGTCCCTCCCAATGGTGCAGATTACAAACTGAGGAACCGAGGGGCCAAGCACCACAGGTATCCAGTACTCCCAGTGTGGAAAGCGTAAGAGCTACTGAAAAAACATCAAATGCTTGGTTTAAACAAATCAGTTTATGATCAAAAAATAGAATGCAGTGTCCCATTCAGTGATATTTTCTATACATAATTTTTATTTATTCAACCGAACTGAACATAGCACCTTGTGCTTGGTTTATTCAGTTAGATAAGACTACTGCTATTTCCTACGTAGTCTTATAGTACAAGGGTTTGCACCCAGTCTTCCATATGGAGAATAAAGCTTGTTTCTAGCACTAAACAAGTCAGGTTTTGGGTCCCTAGTTTTGCAAGATGAATTGCATAACCCTAATAGCAAATTTAAATTGTATATATAGAAAAAAACGACACACAAAGCAGTGATACCTACAAAACGAGTCATAAAGGTATTCAGGAAAAGTACTCTGCTTTTGAGCTACACCGCAGGGGTGGGGGGAAGAAAAGCGCTGCATTCCAAGACAGAAGAAAATGGAGGAGAGAAATCCAAACCTGAATTAATCCCACCATCTCTGCCTGTGTGCTGCATCCCTTTCTCTCACCCTCAGACCATATTGTTTTATTCTAAGTAAAACCTCACTGGGGTAAAGACCAGATCTTACTAAGCATGTGGATAGGACTAGTAAAATGGGATCCCAGTCTCATGCTGGGGCCTAAAAGCATTAAGTAACACAAGAAAGAGGAAAATAACCGTACACAGAACTGACAGCCCTGCACCACCCATGGTGGCTAGCAGGACTCCACATAAAAAAAATTGCAACCCAGAGACAAGTGAAGTATGGTACTAGACACGTCAGAGACAAAGCATGAGGAAGCCAAGGGGAGGCTGCAAATGGGTCAGCCAGGCCGGCGGGGGAAGTCTGCTCTCACCTACGCACAAATGCGGATTAAAAAAAAAAAAAAAGACACTGATACAGAGGTGGCCGGAAGCGGGCAAGCACCGCTTGCCCTCGGGAGCCTCCACCCCGTTGATTCACTCCCAGAGGGAAGTGACAGAGGTCCCCGCGCTGGGGCAGGAGCCGCACGGAAACCCGGGGGCACGGGACAGGGCGGGACGGCACTGGGCGGCGCGGCGAAGCCGCCAAGATACAGGGGCGAACAAGGCCGGCGGGGCGGGACGGGACGGGACGGGACAGGACAGGACAGGACGGGGCAGCCGGCACTTGCCCCAGGCCAGGCCACCACTCGCCTCCCACCTCGCTCAGCAACCGGCGCCAGATGCTGGGGGCAGGCGGGCAGAAGCCAAGCAGCGCGGACACGGGCGCTACAGCGGGGCTGTACCCGTCCCCATCCCCGAAGAAGCCCCCCTCCCCGCCTCACCTGCGAGCGGCAGCGGGGCCGCCTCGCCGCCTCCAAGCAGCAGCAGCAGCAGCACAAGGAGCAGCCGGAGGCCGAGCCCGAGGGGCAGAAGCGGCCCCCGGAGCTGTCGCCACGGCATCGCGCCCGCCGGGCTCAGGGCGGCACGACGGCGTCCGCGCTA